TGAATAGCTGGGACTACAGGTGTGAGCCATGTCCAGCTAATGTTTTTATTTTTCACTGAGGCAGGGGCTCTCGTTTTTTTGCCCAGGCTGGTCTTGAACTCCTGGGCTCAAGTAATTCTCCCATCTTGGCCTCCCAAAGTGCTGGGATTATGGGTGTGAGACACCCACCCCAGGCGGTATTTGTACTCTTATAGTTGGGAAATATGGGATATGTCCCTGGAGTCAGCTATAAGACGGCCCTGAATTTCCCTAACTCTCCATTGGATCTTGATGTGAGCCACCACGCCTGGCCTAGTTTGTTGCAATTTATAGCCCTGAGACTTTCACTTGGCTAAGCAACCATGTAGAAAGAATAACCATGTTCTTTCTTTTGCATGTGTGGATTTATTTTCCCAGCTTTGTTGAGGTATAGTTGATAAACCAAAATTGCATTTGGCTGGGCACGGTGTTGCACACCTGTAGTCCCAGCTACCCCACTCGGCAGGCTGAGATGGGAGGATCACTTGCGCCTCGGAGTTGGAGACTGCAGTCAGGTATGACTGTGCCACTGCACTCCAGCCTGGGAGACAGAGCCAGACTCCTATCTCTAAAAACAAAGATAAAAAAATATATTTATCTGGGTACAGTGGTGCACACCTGTAGTCCCAGCTACCCTACTCAGCAGGCTGAGATAGGAGGATCACTTGAGCCTGGAAGTTGGAGACTGCAGTGACCTACGGTCATGCCACTGCACTCCAGCCTGGGCGACAGAGTCAGACCCCATCTCTGAAAATGAAAATTAAAAAATTATATTTTGTTGGGCACGGTGGTGCACACCTGTAGTCCCAGCTATTCAGCAGGTGAGGCGTGAGGATCACTTGAGACTGCAGTGAGCTGTGATCGCGCCTCTGCACTCCAGCCTGGGTGATATAACTAGACCCCCATCTCTAAAAATAAAAAATTAAACATAAATAAATAAGAGATTCAAAACACAGAGACTTACCGGGAAGACACGATGTAGCCCAGCACGTGGGCCACGAGGAGCCGCCCATGTGTCTGCTCCAGACGGGCGCAGAGC